GACATATCTTCCCCTCAGATTCATGCCAACTGTCGCATAAGGAGGGTGTATTTCTCAGACAGACTGTACGCTGAGGATGAGCTCCCAGCAGAGTTTAAACTCTACCTGCCTGTCCAGAACCAGAAGGCCAAAGTAAGCACACAACTCCTCACCATGCACAATGTATAGTCACAGAATTATTCCTGCAATCGATCAAGTAGTGATAGATATAGAAATATTGCTCTTTATTTTTTGGCAGCTATAAATAATGGAAGGTGCTGTTTAGAAGTGTGTCTAACACGTCGTCTGTCTGTTTCTTGCAGCAGTAGATCCTGTCAGCCTGCACTGTTCCCCCCTGACGTGATGTGGATGTTGGACTTTCTCTGTGTAGACGTGTGGTGGACTTTGAAACATTGGGATATTGTAATTTTGGAGCCATGAGTTTTGAGTACAGTCTTGTGTTGCTTTCTGCACAATAAAACTTTTTTTATGGACTCATGTGTCCTCAGTGTTTTTAATGGATAGCAGTTTAAGCAAAACTTGTTATGACAAGTTGACATAAGGGTCTACATTGTTCAGCAGCTTTATGTCAGAAATAACTTGTTTTGCAACTGATTATATTTATTATAATAACAACCTTTATTATAGAGCAGTTTTCATAAAAAATGGTACAAAATGCATTCCAATAAAATTAATTAAAAATTAAAATACAATAAGCACACAGAATAATTGATAAATGTTGAATGCACACAAGTAAAGCAGGAAGCTATAAAACATAAAACTTAGATAAAATCAGGAAAAGCTCTCCGATAAAAATGTGTTCTAAGAAGTGGCTTAAAACTTAAAATTAAATTATAATTTAGTTTCCCTAAATAAATCAACACACTTTGTAATTGTTATTTGGGCCTCTTAGACTTTTAAAAAAAAAAAATTAAAATACGCGCCTTGTTTATTTCCGGCCACGGTCGGAGACGGCTGCTTCTTGTTACCATGGCGACAGAGATGCCTCAACGTATAGGTACCGGTGTGAACAACGGCAAGAGAGTTCCGTTCCCCTGCAGCCCCAAAATAACGAAAGTTTCTGTGAAAAAACTCGTGTTTGGGATAAGTCAAAACATACAAAATCACAAATCTTTTAAAATAAATGAAATATCTTAATATCTAGTAGAGGGACGGGTTATTTCTCACCGCACGGAACCAACGGTAAAAAATAAACCGTAAACAAACGTAACTCCTGCTAGCAACCAGCATAGCAACGGGTTCAGCGGACTCACACTCATGTGCACCGCCGCTGTGTGCTGAGTTCAGAGAAGATGTTCAAAAACACATTCCAGAGCGGCTTCTTGTCCATCTTATACAGCATCGGCAGCAAACCGCTTCAGATATGGGACAAGAAGGTAAGCAGCGGAACGAACCGTGTCTTCATTAGCTCTCCTGGCTAGTGGCGCTGAAGCCTCTGCTGTCGTGTGATTTATTCCTAAAACCGTCACCTCTGTTGACACGTAGTTCAGATGTTGTGTTCAGACAGGTGAGTAAATCTGTGTTATTTAGCCACCACGTATGAAACAGCCATCGTATTGGTGAGTGTGTCATTTTTAAATCTGCATTTTAAACATATAAGCTAAACCCTAATGCTGCCTGAACCCCAATTTGAAATGTGTGAAACCTTTATTCTATGTGTGCAACTGCAACAAAGAGGGATTTATGTGCTTTAATACATGTAGACCACATTAGGTCCAGATTTAACCCGCTATATATAGGCTGGATAAATCTGGACTAGACTGTCCCTGAGAGGCTAAACTCTTAAAAGCACAGCCTCTGATGTGTGAAGTCTTTATTCCATGTGTGGTCACGCAAATAGGGACATTTCACTATCTTCTTCTTTTTTTTTCTTTTTTGTTTGCATCAGGGACACATTAGATTAGGTCTAGATTTAAAACCATTACATAAAAACTAGCTAAATCTGAACTAGATTGTGGCAGAAGGGTTGAAGATCACTTAAACCACAGTGTCTGATTTGTGAATCCCTAATTCTATGTGTGAAATGTAGAAAGGCACATTTCACTGCTTTTTGCATCGAGAATGCATTAGACCAGATGGAGATCTTAAATACTTGGACGGGTCAAATCTGAAACAGACTAAAGAGTCGTTTAAACACAGTTTGTGAATTGTGAAACCTCTATTTTATTTGTGAAAATGCAAAATGCTTTACAACATAACAGCATAATGCACCATCTATCCTTAGACCCTCTGCAGAGCTAAAAGATGGTGGTAGCTCACCTTTTCCTGCAAGAGTCAGCTTGATTTCTTCATTTAAACCAGAAAAAAATCTACTTCTGTTTGTTCACAGGTGAGAAATGGTCACATCAAGAAAGTCACTGACAATGACATACACTCAAATGTGTTAGAGATTGAAGGAGCGAACGTCAGGTGAGTTTGTGTGTTTACTCATCCATCAGCTCAGCTTTACTCATTCAAACACAAGTCTCACTCATCCCCCTCTCCTTTATCATCTCTCCTCCCTACAGTACCACCTACATAACATGTCCTGCAGACCCCAAGAAGACACTGGGCATCAAACTTCCTTTTTTGGTCATGATAATTAAGAATCTCAAGAAGTATTTCACATTTGAAGTTCAGGTACAGATACAGACACCGTCCTTGTCTTGTTGACATACAGTAAATACATTCATTCATGCTCATCTTCTTGCAACTCTCAGGTGTTGGATGACAAAAACGTTCGGCGGCGATTTCGTGCCAGTAACTATCAGAGCATGACTCGAGTGAAGCCGTTTATCTGCACCATGCCCATGAGGCTGGATGANATCTCTCAAATGAACTAGGAGGTTGTATCTAATGTCACTGCTGCCAATAACCTGTTTGAAACTATGAAATGGAAAAATCTCTGCTGTAAAAAAAAAAAACTTGACATGACATAAAAATATGTTTGACTTTAGTAAGCACATCAGAGGGGAGGGACTGCGCTCAGGACAAAACTAAAATCAGAACTTATTAGATCCTAACCTATCCTGGTCTTGATGTCAGGGATAATTTTGGCATATAATTACAAGTATTTAATTACATTACAGTTGTTGAGTTGACCTGCTGCTGTCTAGTGCTGCAAATTTTTAATAAACTAAAAAAAAATACATTTATGCAAACAGCTGGAGGCAATAAACTAAACTTCAGCTCCTGTTTCACTTTTGCCGAAACCCAGATTTTGCTTATTATTGGTGAGTCTCAGTGTATTATAAACATATACTCTGACTTTTTGCGAATATTTCTAGCTGTAAGGTACAGCAAAATAAATAAGGCAAAACTACATATCAAATATACACATGATATAATATACACAGAGGGTATTCTGTGATTTAAAAGAGGTCTGTGTAGTTTCTTGATAGAAATGAGTTTTAATGTTGCCTGAAGTATGTACGTTGTTGATTACTGACCACTGACAGACCACCTTCGGTCATCCTCAAATGTACTCATCCCCTTCCATTAAAGAAAAGGCTAAATTCACGATAGTCACTCAAATAACTAGAAACTGAAAAAGTAATAATAAATAAAAATTTGCTGAATTATAATTTAGTGAAATAAGACATTGCTTTTGAATTGCGGTTGAAAAGAATAATTTAAAAAACAAACAAAACTGTCCTGGACAAATTAGAGCACTTTGCTGATGAGCAGTGAAATCCAAATACCTGTCAACAGGTGCACAAGTCTGATTGAGAATTACAGAAAACACTTGATTGCAGTGATTGGCTCAAAGGGTTGTTCAATTAAATATTAGTTTACAGGTCCCATCATGCTTGGTTGCTTTTTTTTNTGAACAGCTGTGCTGATGACACTTTATCTGTTATATTACTGCACAGACAACAGCTCTTGGCATTTAAATGGACGGTGACCAAGACCTCAAAAATACTCCTCAGACGTTCACGCTGACTGAACGTATGTCACGCAGCTTATAAAATCCACAGCTCTGACACAAAACTGGGCCACATTTGTTGATGACAGTGGGTCAGATTAATCGACAATAAAGTTGCCATTGGCACGCTGAAATAAGGTAATAAGATTTATGCATGACTCGATTAAAACTCCTTCAAAATAGTATTTTGTTTTCAAGAAAACAAGAAATTACTGCTTTAAAAAAAATTAACATTTGGACGAGAATTAGAACTTCGAGCAGTAAATCTGAGGTTCCCAAATAAATCAACATGTATTCAGGAGTCCACTTGCTACATAGAATAAAGTTAAGGTAAACTACTTTTCTTTTTCTTTATATTTACTCTAAGTATTTGGCTTCAAATATATATTAGCATTTGTTTAAACCGAAGCACATTTTTACAGTAGGCACTTGTTATTCTCAATAAGGAATGCCAGTCTTTCTGTGAACTGGTGTTACAGTTTGACAACAGAGTTTTCCCTGAAGTGTGATCGGTAAGGGAAGAGAGCAAGTTTTACAAAACCACATGCTCCATTTGTCATGTTCAGTCAATTCTCACTGCATATTGGGAAACATACAAAAACAAAACACCTTCCTCGTTTAACTTCTATGGCAATAGTCGTACAGCAGCGTCAGGCTCTGGTGACGTTTAGGTCAAACCAAGAAACAGACTTTTTTTTTTTTGGAATACAAACACTGTAAAACATCTAACATGAACAGGCTGTTTGAATCACCTATTGTTACTACTGCGGCTTTTAAACAAACTTAAACCAACCACATAAAACAAAATGTCAAGAGACGAATTACAGAACAAATTATTCCAGCAAAGTGTGTTTTCTTTACATGACTGATATAACTTAAAGAATACATTCATAGAAATCTATTGCTTTAGTCGACAGCATGCATCTCTTTAAAGTGCAAAAGAACATTCATTGGTTCAAATCGACAAATCAAACACTACATTAAATCATTGACTTCACACTAATACAGCAAAAGTAGTGATTCCAAGATGGCACAAATTAGCTGCTTACAGACAAACTAACAAATAAAATTATACAGAGTATAAAATAAACCTGATAAGTCAACACAGACAGAAGACAATAAAGCCAAGGCAGATAACACCTGTAGCATGAGCTGTTACACTAAGAGCTTGCATTGATTCTGTTTGGATTTGAGAAACAGGAGAGAGGAGACAGAGTCTATGACTATACAGATAAAGCCAGAACACTGTCATTTTACTCTTCACTCTTTAGAGAGGGATCCTTGCTTCCTTCAGACATTTTAATATTATTTTAATATGTCCATCATACTTGAAAATGTGTTGCATCACAGAGAGAGGGATTTAGGATATGAATACAGAATACATGTAAAAAACTGTCCCTGTGGTCCATTTGAAGACCGGGAGACATATTAAATGGACAACTGGACTGTTCAAGCCTTAGCTTGTAGAGGGAAAAGGGGCTTTAAAAATGTATGTGTTGCCTTCAGGTACACAAAGAGCGACTTTACAGCCACTGATAAAGAAAGAAGGTTTTGATATTGGCTCTACGGAGGCAGGGTCCTGTACTGTGCTCGCTCGGCAGTGGTTCACATTAGTTGCACCTGGCGGTGTGTGTGCGTTTTTAAACATCCACAACTCAGGAGGAGTGCTTGGTTGCAAGCCGTGTTGCCACCTTTGAATGTGTTGAAGTACGTTTAAAGTTCAAGAAACTGTTGTCAAAGCTCAAGCAGAAGAGGTTCATTCGATGCATCCAACCTTTGTTGGAGCTTGTGAGTTCTGAGTCAAGCTTCAGCACCACGTTTCAGCAAAATCTACTTTAGATAAAAGCATACTTCTGACAAAGCTAACAATGAGGGCTCGATTCTAATAATTTAAGAAACTTGAGAAGATCCGACGCCACAGACAGATGGTGAAGACGGACGCCCAGGTGTACAAAGATTGGAGGCTGACAAAGGTACAGCATGTTTAGCCTATTGAAGTGGACTCCAGCTTAACATCAAGCACCTCTCATGTTGTTTGAATATCCAAGATAGTTTTCTGACATACTGTGGTCCAGTTGTTTGAAGTGCAAAAGTAAATAAAGTCACAATTTTCCCGCTATTGCTGCGACCTTCACTCGCTCCACATTCTCTAATCGTCTCATCCTGCAGGCTGGTGTGTGTGTGTCGGAGAATGTGTGTTTGTCCAGTACTATGTGGTGCTGCCGTAGTGAATGACATAGTAGTCATGGACATACATCAACACAGCGACGGGCTGTCCAATGATGAGTGACATCCACACAGCTGCGTTGCCATAGTTTCCATTCAGGAAGCGGCCCACGAACCAAGCCAGAGGAACCTGAAGGAGTTAAAGGGTCAGAGGTCATGTGTAAACATTTGGAGAGAGAACGAGTGACCGAGTGAAAGAGGTTAATGATCCAATGTGTCTTACCTGTGCCATCATTCCCATAAAAGCCCAAAGTCTGAACATCTTCAGAGGAACGCTAACGAGGTACTGAGGAAGGAGAAGGCAACACACTCAGACTGACAGGACCAGACATGCGTTTTGTTTCTTAATAAAACACTTTTCTAAAGCAGCATGTTTCATCTATGGAAGCAAAAGTCACATTTAAAGCTGTTAGAGGTTGAACTGTGAGATAAGTTCTGTTGGTTTACCTCATGGAAGAAGGCAGAAACCAGAAAGACAGCAGTCTGAGCCAGAAACTTGTTGACTCCCCTCCTCAACATTGGCTTATAAAAGTGTCTGTAAAACAAAAAGCAAAGTTAAAAAATAAAAAAGTAAAACACCTTGAGCATTTACTATTGCGTGCTATTGTTTTTATTTCATACAGACTGCAATGAGAGATGAAGCCAAAACCTCCAACACAGTTAAAAATGCAATCTAACTCATGACAGAAAGCCTGACACTCACCTCAGACACCACTTGTGCACTGGGATGTTCCAGTTGGCCCAGAAATAGGTGACAGTCTCCGAGTTCCTGAAATAAAAAACAAACAAACAAACAAAAAAACAACAGTTTCAGAATTGGACTTCAAGGCTATTTGGTGTTCTGAATGAATTCATACATATTTTGAATTAAGGTTTTATTCCTGACAAATGGTCAGTCTGCTTAGCTTGGAGTGTTTAAGTGACTTTACATGTGTTCAGACTGTTTCTATGTGCAGAACACATGTGCTTCTGTGTCGGCTAATCCTGTGTGAGCTCTACTCACCACCAGTCCTTGTAGAACTCCCGGTCTCCAAACTGCAGCAGCTCTGCCACAAAGTTCAAAGAAGAATGGAAAAACCAGTAGAAGAAGATTAACCATATCAGATGGTTAGGAACCTGGGAGAGGAGAGGAGAGGAGAGGAGAGGAGAGGAGACGAGGAAAGGAAAGGAAGTGAGGAGAGGAGAGGA